TGATTCCTCTCCTGTCATCCATTTCCAGACAAACAGAAGCTAGGGACATGAGGCTAATAGCTATTGATGGACCCAACCTCTATAAATCTACCTAACTCCTTTTTGGACCCTGTTAAAGGCGACTACTAGTCTCAACTATTTCAGTTCTTTAAATTGCAAGGATTGGGACTGTGGTGAGAAGAGGTATGCAGTCACAGACATTTCACACACTGAGAAGTAGACTAGCACATGCTTGGATAAAAATGGGTGTTTAGACACTTTTACACGTCTGTATTTTGAAAAATGTTTATACAGTAAAAACTTTATAGTGGCCACAAAATTGGCATAATGAAATAGGGTTTGCCATGCTAGTATAAGAAAGGAACATGTCAGCAGCGAGGTGTGTATTTATGTATAGATGGATGCAGAAAATAGCAACTCTTTTTTTAAATGGAAATCACCGCATTAATTGTTCCAAACATTTTGATTGAGGAGGGAAATATAATGGAAAGGACACTTTTTGGTCTGGGAAGTAAAAAGTGCAATTACGCATTTGAACGAATGATGGGAGGATGACTAGGGAGAAGTATGACAAGAAAAGGCAGATCATGTGATGCAGATTGCCTTTAAGGTTTTGTAATTCCTGCTAAGTTTAATTTGTGTGTAAATTCTATGTCTGCTAATGGCAGAGTAGAATCTTATATCAAAATATTCCGGTGAGTTAGTATCAACCTAACAGATGAAGATAGACCGAGGGCTTGTCTACACTAAAAGTTAAGTTGACATAAGGCAGCTTATGTTGACTAAGCTGTGGAGGTGTATGTACTGCAATACATCTGCGGGTTTAACTGTTCTGCTATGTTGACACAAAATCACCTTGATGAAAGGTATGTGTAGGGTGTGTAGTTGGAGCAACTCAGCATCAGTGTAGATGCTGCATTGCTTACGTTATCCTAAGTGGCTTCCAGGAGGTATCCCAGAGTGCCGACTGTGGTCACTATTTTGAATTCCGCTGTCCTGTAGCCAGGTATGCTGCCATGGCTCCCTTCCCTTTTAAGATTGCAGGAAGTTTTGAAATTGCTCTTCCTGTTGGCTTGAGTGGACAACTCACATTGCACCTTCCGAGCTGAGCATGCTCGTTCATGCAGAAAACACGCTTCTATGAAGAGAGGAGGCTGTGGACCTGTGGGGAGAAACCAGTGTAGGGAGGTTGGGGGAGAGAATCACAAGGCTCCCCCATACTGCCTCCCCCCATTCTGTGTATCCATGGTCTCAGCAGTACCCAATGCACTCCACCCCATGGGCGATTAAACACGACAGCTGCAACCAGTGTAGGGAGGTTGGGGGAGAGAATCACAAGGCTCCTCCATACTGCCTCCCCCCATTCTGTGTATCCATGGTCTCAGCAGTACCCAATGCACTCCACTCCATGGGAGATTAAACATGACAGCTGTGCATATGCCCAGCTGGGAGAGCTTGTCGGTACACGTGTTTGTGAATTCCCTGTTCCATCCACTTTCAAGATGCTTCCTCTTGTATGTATGAAGTTTACCTTAGCATTATGTAGGTATGTTGCACGTGTTTAGAATAAAAATTGACTTAAGGAAACTTGAATTTATCTTATTCTCCATCACATGCTGGCTGCTGCTAACATTCAAGACAATAATCATAGGTGCATGTGCATTGTTCGTTGGGTGCACACAGTAATAATTACAAAGGTTTGTAGCATGCTGCAAAACAAACAGTGCCAGGCTCAGCACACTACAGCAACACACATTACTGTGGCTCAATGTTAAAATGCTCCTTCAAGGCCTCCCTCAGCTGAATAGTGTCCACTTGCATTGAGATTCTCTTACAGCCTTGTGTTTATAATGCATTACTAGAGCGGTGCAAGTTCCATGCTTTTCTGACACAGGTAGCTGGCTCGCAGGTTACCAGGCCCGTTGAAATGCACCTTAAAACCTAATAGGATCCTCATAGAGTGATGGGATTGCGAAACCTGCATTATGTGATGCTATACTTTCCTGCAGGAGGCATTGGGAACCAGAGATGTGAAAGTGTAACCATGTGCATGGTTAACCGACAGGCTCATCGATTAACCTTCATGGTTACACGCCTCCTGGGACATGCAGGGGAGCTGACTGCCATCCTGTGTAACCACTGAAATTTGTCTCCCAGTCTGGGACATGCAGGGGAGCTGACTGCCACCCTGTTTAACCATTGAAATTTGTCTCCCAGGACTTGTGCTATTGTCACATTTTCAGTTTAAAACGCTGCCGCTTTTAGGTGTAGCAGAGCCTTAATTTTGTAGAGTAGACATAGCTTAAATGGAAACAGACAGAATAAACACTTGGGAGTGTTTTAAAACCTAGTTATAATGTAAGTAATGGCGCTGCTTAATGCTTAAGGATGTATTTTATGTTAGTTTCTTCTGACAGTAGGTTTGTGTGCTTTTAAATATCCTGCAAAAAGCATGACTGAGAACTAACAAGAAGGTAAAGCCTCTTGTGCATGAATAAGTAGATAATCCAGTGTTTTCCATGAATTGGTTAAGAGAGTGTAGTTTTATAAGCTTTCCTTTGTCAGTTTTTTTGCTGGTAAGGTGGGTTTCCAGGCATCTGAGCATTGTAGATCTCCACACATTTTATTTTCATTTTGATCAGTGTTAATTTAGCATTTGCGAAATCTTCCGTAGAGAGCAAGAGTGAGCCCTGTTTATCCATTGAACAGGTGCAGCACAAGTGGTAGCAGTAAAGCTGTAGGCCTGGCCACCTTTGAGGGAGAGACCTACATTAAAAGTCACCATGTTCAATTACTCTAGTTTTCATCACTGTTCTTCTCCCTTCCCTCCCCCCCTTATGGTTGACAAACACCCACTTCAGGGCAATCTTTATTATGATGGACTTTACTTTAGTGATTCATTGTTTGCCTTTGTATCAAGCTGACTTCTTTTCCTGATCATTGATCAGTGAACAGCAGAGACTTCAAGTGCAGTTGCTGGTTCTTTATTTCTCTTTATTTAAACTTCTGGTTCATGAAGTTATATTGCTCTTTCATGCTGCACAATGTTTTCAGCTTTACATTTCTGAGTCTCTTCAGTTTTTTGAGTCTCTCAAGCTCAGCTGAAGAAGTGGGTTGTGCCCATGAAACCTCATGAAACTGTATATTTTTTTTGTTCATCTCTAAGGTGCTGCAGGACCATCCTTTTTTTAAGTAACATGGCTGCCCCTCTAAGATCATATACACTTTTGTTAGTTTCTAAGGTGCCCCAGGACTACTTGTTTTTAAAGTTGTAGACTAACATGGCTGCCCCTCTGAGACTTTCAGTTTTTTGGTGCCTTTATTATTCTAATTATTTTAAGCTTTCAGCCATGGGCTCTGTGGATATCATATGTCACCTGAACTTGCAATACTGGATGGTCTGCTCCCCAACTGTTGCTTCCACAAACAAGGTGGCTTTGGGTCAAAGTCACCCATCTCCATCATGGAGTCAGTTTGGGTTGTGTTTGTATTTTGGTATCAACAACCAGTTCCTAATTATTTATTTAGTTTGGTCGCTTTCTATCCAAACTAGCAACTGTTGCTTACTGTTGCTTTTCTTGTGCACCTCCTTTTATTTCCTTTCTGCTGAATCTTACCCCTTTGTACCTTCTTTTTGTTACCAGCTGAGTGAAAATGTTCAGGTTTGAGGCTGCAAAGGCAAGTATGGCCCTGTTGCTGTGTGTGGGCTGTTAGATTTTTTTGACTTTTTTCAAAGAAAAGTAGCCAGCATGGGTAATCTGGCCATACTTTTGCCAATAGTATTTATATAGATATTAATTAGGTGTTATCTTAAATGCTTGTTGGTTTTATTATAATATAGAATTCAAAACCAATATTTGCTTTTATATTACACTGAAATTAGAAGGAAAGAATGTTATTTCCCACTTAAAGTACCTGTGAATACATGATAAAAAATTAATTGAGAGAATAATACAGATATTGCTTCTAGTCATTTTCCCCCACATATGAAAAACCAATTACCTGAGCCTTCTGACTTTAGGAGCTGTCAGATTCTGAAGAGATTAAAATGAAGAAACCATGCTCACAATCGAAGAGGAATTGTGAGTTGAAGGCTTAATACCTGCTTTTGTTTTTAAGGCCATGTAACACTGCAGTTCATTTACAGATAGTGTGTTTATTACACTTTTTATTTTTTTAATTAACAATCCTCTAAAGAGGTTAGAATTTAATAGTAGCAAGTACTAAAACTGAAAATTTTAGACATAATAGATGGCTGAGTGTGGAGACAAGTTGGCCACATTCTTTAGTGTGTGTGCCACTCTTTCAGCATTTGTTCCCATTGACTTCAGTGGAACATGTCTGATCTGTAGGTCTTGATTTTCAGAATCTAGCCTCCAGTGGTGGATATAAATACTTAGGGACACTAAGATTTGTATGCCAGAGTGATACATTGTAACATCTGTGTTCACTGGTACTAGAATTTTCACACTCACATACCATCCTGTGTGTGCACAGGTTAGCTTCTTTCTACTTCAAGAACAGTTTTTTCATGCAGATGTATGCATATGCAAACCATGTATATACAGGTGGAAACTGGGTTGAGATTCCACTGGATAGTTGGCCCTTAATATCATTTAAAAAACTGGCCATATTTTAACTTTATTTGCGTAATTGAACTGTGTAAAACAAGTGTAATATTTTATAGCATTTATGATCAACACAGCTGCCTTTCCATTGTTCACATGTAGGAGGTGATGAATTAGTGATGCAGGAACTTTGCTATAATAATCATTTTTAAAAAATGTGGTTCTGTTGATAATCTGTGGCTGCCTACTTCCCACCAGGCAGCTCTAAAGTAAGCTGTCAACAAATTAGCTATTTAAACTTTTTTGAATTTAATGATGACTTGGGCTTTGCAGTCCTTGGCTTCTGTCCTTGTTTTATTAGATTGTTAGAATGATTAATTTATCTCACTGTCCTTTTTTTTTAAAGCAGACAGAGGAAAAAACAGCTTATTTTAACTAATGCGGGAAATGGAAAAAATGTCTTTCCTTTCCTCACTCTTTTCAGCTAAAATAATTTCACTTTGTGGAACTGAAATGTCACTATTTCAGGTAAGCACTTCTCTTGATTTCTGTTAGATTGTCACTTTCTTGATGTTTCAAGTTGGAATGTGCTGTGTTTCTTGACTTTATATGTGTAGTCTGCTGAGGCTTCTGTTAAACTACCTCAAAACAACTTGCTTTGTGATGACACGAGAAAATTGCCTTTCCATTTAGTCTCAAAGTCTGTGGAAGACTTTAGGGCAAGATCTGTAAAGTGTGATAGAAGACTAAGCTCTAGTTTGAGTACATGAGAGAATACTAAATTAGTGACATAAGACACCTGATGTATGTGAAAATCTCCCTCAGTCATTACATTTAGCCTTTAAAGTCTTGTTACTCCAAGGGCTGAACTCCCCCGAGAATTTGGGTGATCCTTCCAGAGAGGAAGAACTGTTGTCCAGTAGTTAGGGCACTTGGCAGACTTAGGCTCAAGTCTCTTCTCCACTATATACTTCCGTGTGTCTTGAGATAGGTCCCTTAGTCTTTCCATGCCTTAGTTCCCCGTATGTAGAAAGGGGATGGTTGTACTTGCCTACCTCACAGAAGTGTTATCAAGGTAATATATGAAATGATAATATATGAATATATGGTAATATATGAATGAATATGAAGAGCTTATTAGGGTTGTAAAATCCCATTTAATTAGTTAATCAGTTAAACCAATTAAGTGGGATAGAGGGGGACACTGCTCCATCCTGGCTCTTAGCCTATGGGTTTGCTGCCAGTCCTTCTCCCCTTTCCCTTGTGCAGGGATGCTGCCGACTCCGGCCCTCTCGGCCACCCCCCATCTCTGTGTGGGGCTGCTGCTGGCCCCTTGGCTCCTGCTGTCAACTCTCCCAGTCCCAGCAGTGTGGTGGGTATTGCTTTCTCCCTGCACAGACTACAGTGTGATGGGCCTGGAGGACCCTTCCGCCCACCGCAGGCTGTGGGTGAGGGTCTGCTCCCTGGCTCCAGTTAACCCGTTCACTTCCTTAGAGATCACACAAGTAGTTTTAAAAAGTTCCTCACAGGAAAGTTTCAAGACTGCAGAAATGGTCTGGTTTGAATGTTTCCAGTGTGTATTTGCTATAAAATCTGGGTAAAGCCACATTTAGGCACATAAATAGAGATTTTTTCAGCAGCCTTGAGCACTCAGCATTTCCTACTGAGCTTAGCGGGCATTTACGTGCACTCGGTACTTCTGAAAATCCAGCCACTGTTTAGGTGCTAAAGTCTTAATGTGTAGCTTTGAAAGTCTGTGTTCTGCTGTGAAATGTTTGGTTGCATATACTTTTTTAAAACTAGTTTTTATCTATTTAAAATTTGAAATCTTATTTGAAACATAGCTGTAAATCTAACCTTCAGTTTTTCTGCTTTTTCTGTGTGCTGAGATTAACTTAGTTGACATTAACATCTTGTTTCTAACAGGTGCATATCTACGAGGAATGCTAATAATTATCCAAATGAATAGGCTGTCTAGCTTTCGGAAATCTGTATGATGAGGCATATTTCACAATGTGATCATTTGTGTAATTCGAAGTTGAGATGTTTACACAAACCTTAACAATTGTAGTGACAGGTCTCACTCATGCTGAGGAGTGAGCATATGGGTCAGCAGTTTAAAACAGTAAATTGTCCTCACAGTTTATTGATCAAAGTGTGATAGCCCTTGAAGAACTTGCAAGTGTGACTTTTTTCCTATTGTTTTCCTTTTTTTGAGGCAGACTACATTTATTGTGCAAATATGTTCATGGTGTACTTTAAAATGAAAAGTGAAAAGGCTTATAATTATTAATTGGAGTCTGCTGTATGTGTTTGTTGTCTTCAGTTCATTTCAAAAGAAGTCCTATTCCAAGGACCTCTGGAAAAGTCCTCTGACTGAAGATTACTTTTGCATAAAGTTATGGTTTCAATATCAATTTAAAAAAAAATCCAGTTACAATAAACTTCCGATAATCCGGCACCTTTAGGACCCAGGGGGTGCCGGATTATCAGATATGCCGGACTATCAGAAGGGGGGGCTATGAGGGGTCTGGAGTGGGGTGGGAGGGGATGCCACCCCAGGCCCCTCATAGCCCCCCCTA